AATTCAAAAACGCATATCCGTAGATATTTGAATTAACTAAAGTTTTATGTTGACATTTTCCGTACAATATAATATAATTTAAACTATTTTTTATTTTATTTTTAGGTATTTAATGTCTTATTGACATGTCGAATTACAAATTTTTATTGTAAAATATCACTTAATAAAAAAGCTTAAAAATGTATTTAAAGATTTAGCATGAGTTGGTATTACTAAAATTACAAACAAGTTGAGTTTAATTTTATTAAAATTTTTATGAGCGTCTGAAATATACATGTTGAAGAAATTTCAGGATATTAATACGTAAAATCACGAGTTTTCATCGAATAGTATTATTCATGTATTGTGATTCAAAAACAAATAACCACAGTGGACACTTAAAATTTTCAATATTAGCAATTTCCTATTCGTGATTTAATTTTCAATTATTTTGATTTTTTTCAAACTTTTTATAGACATTTTACATTTTAGATTAAATTTTTTTTTATAAATTATAATAATTAGTAATATTATTATAATATCTTTTTATGCCTATTATCTACAACAAACGTCCACACCGTTATATTTTGGTAAGGTGGTAAAGCGGTAATGCAGTATTGTCTCAAAAGTTTTTATTTTTATGTTTATTTAACAATTATTTTTGAAAACAGTCGTACAAGTTAATAACAATAATTAGTTATAAAAATATATRCTATTGTAATAATTAAATATTAACAATATTGCATTTAGATTTGTTTCATTTATTATGCAATGTTTTCGGAATTGTAAAATAAATTAAATCAATATTGCAATATTAAAAAACATAATATTATGAAATATACTTTTTTTATTATTGAAATAAACAATCTATACAAGTAAGTACAATAAGCTTATATGTGCTAAGAGAAGACAGGACGTGATAGATTGATTAAGCCGCCCACTGGCAACATTTAGCATGAATTTAATGAAATATACTTAGTATTACTAAGTACTTACTATAATATTATATTATAGGTATTAAGTTACCTAGTGTTGAACTGACTATCTTTGGTCAGAATCATTTTTCATCTGCAATCATTTGTGATTGAATTCAAATTTACACAATATCTTATCTACTAAATTACGAATTAAATTCAGCACCTAAAACCTGTACAGCAGAGCGATTACCTATTTCTCCCCCTCTTTCTTTACATTTTTATGGATGGTGTTCATTTTTCTTATATTTAATTAATTTAGCGTAATCACCTAAAACAACAAAAAAAATGCTTATTAGATACCTGTGTTATACCTATAGTTATCAGCTACAGTTGACACTTGTGATATTGTTTAATAGTATTTTTTATCCGTAGTCGATATAAAATGCAACTCAATTGTTTCTCTTCTCCCCCCCCCCTATCTCTCGGAGGTAAATCGTTCAAGGATGCACAACCATTCGTACAATATAATATGCAAAAAATATTATCGTCATAGTGTAATCGTTCGGTGACAACGATGGCCCCTATTTTCTGTTGCGGCCGGTGATAAAAGCTCATGAGCATCGATTTCTTGGCGGACGTGTCTTGGAGTGTATGTGATAACTAAAATCGTAATTTCTTCACTTGTAACAATAATATATATATACAATGTTAAACCTGATGTAGGCATCTATTATAGACGTATACCTAATGTGTATTATACACGCCGCGATGAGATGCCGGAGGCCGCGGCGGCGGAGGGTCGAAGACCTCCAACAGATCGATGACTCGCCGCCACCACCGACGTCATCGTCAGTTCTGCAATGTGTTCGACAATAATTGACATTTCATTTTTTTTTTAGTGGTCACATTAGTTTTTTTTTTTTTTGTCTGTTAAGTAAGAAAATAGTTTTTGTAAATACGTGACGGAGGAAAAACGTTAATTTTTACAATCAAACTGTGACATACGAGTAGTTGTATAAATGTACCTATAACAGAGTATTTTTATTATTTCGTATAAAACTTATATATTATAGTATTATTATGTCCAGTAGACGACAAGGCGTATAAATGTATAATACATATTTTTATCGGGATTTACGGTTTTTTTTCTTTCTATAATTCTGTTTAAGTTTGAATAAATAATCAAACTAACAAATACAATGCGTTTCCTGATATATAGGCACATATCATGCGTAGATTTTCTAAGCAAGTATTGTTTGATTTTAGTGACAGAACAGTCGAGTATTATTCTATTAGTATTTACTTTTACAATGTTAACACAGTACAATCACGAGTGATAGTAAATTCCATTGATACATGTATATATATATATAAACTTTATTAGTGTAGTGTTGTACGAAACTACACGTAATTTTTTAGCATTTTTTTGGGGTTCCAATCAATAAGTTATAGATTATAGCCTATGCATTAAATTTTTAATAACACATTATACGTATCAAAGAATTATGTTTTATAATAAATGAATATTACAGTAATTTGGTAAGGTACGGCATGTTGACGTAGGTATTCTACAAAAATGTTAACATGCTTAATATTTTCACCCTTAGGTATATTTATCAGGTAAACAATGTTTGAAAAAAATATTTTTGATTTTGAACCATTTTATCTCAAACATTTATTTCTTGATTCCAATCGGGCTGATCGAGCTTTTATAAATATAATACACAGTAAGACCGCAAGAAAAAAAATGGGTATTAGCTCCAAGTAAATGAAGGTAATAGATATTATTGTATGATATTGATAGCCATTTTTTACATAAAATGATGCACACATCATATCGCATGCAAAACGATTCCCAATAATATCATACTACCTGTTGTTTCATGTTGTCATTATATTTATTTTTTAATCTTCATAAGGGGAGTGAGCATTGTATCGAACTGATAACATTTTAACCGACAAGGTCCAGCCGGTGGAGTTTGCCAATTATAGTTGGACATTTTGTGAAACTACATCAAACAATAAAGTTGTGCGACATTTTATAGCAGATAGGTTACCTATAACTATTGGACATGTCTTTCCATAACATTTGGTTGAACTTGGTCGCAGCTGGAAATTAGATTTAAGTCATGTATTGTGTTAACTTATAGCTCAAAATCGGCACGCAAAGTCGGTTTATCACATAAAAATCATAATTCATAATTATTATTATTGTATACCACGTTAAACCAACGCAATACGTGTAGGTACATTATTGTAATATAGGCGGGCGCTTACCAGTTACCAGGTATGTCTATTATTGTTTGTATATAAAACGTATGCCATTAACATCACGGAATTATTATACTAGCGCAGAATCGCAAACTAGTTAAAATTGCCATCATGCAAATTGCAAATAATATGTGTACGATGTGATGTGCGTTAACTATATAATATATTATATATATATATATATTAAGTTGATTCGGCTACATCGAAGTGAGCTTGGAAATATATTTTGGTTTAAATTTCTCTTTTAATAAGACAATGACATTCCGTAACCATCATACTAATCCAACTAAAATACATCATATATAGATAGTTAGATTTTAGGAAATAGGTACAATTATTATGCTACTCGTATAATAATAATGATAAAAACATAATGGTAWTTCGCATTATAATTACGTTCAATATATATTAAGCTTAATTTTTATTAAATTTTAATAAAATATATGGCAATTCGGTATCGCAGAAATAAATAGTAATAATATCATATTATATCCTAAGTAGTCAAATAATAAGTCAAAAGTCCTGCGCCGTTGGGCTTTCCTCCATGATGATGATCAATCGTTCATTTTCTCTCGGACGAGGCCTTGACGGAATCGGAGACAGCGGTGGCGGAGGCGGGGGCGGGGGCGTTGGCGGCCGGTGAGTTGGCGTAGATTGACTGGTACTGCTGTGACGGATACTGTTGCTGTTGCGAGAGGTACTGTTGGGAAGGGCTGTACTGTTGACCGGCAACGCCGCTGTTGTAGAACGATGACGACGAGTGCTGCAGAGGTTGTTGTGGGTAAGCGGACGGCAGAGCCGAGTACGGAGTGACGGACGGCGAGGAGACACCCGAGTGGTGGCCGTTGTRCGGAGCGGCCGAATAATGATGGCTGTTGTATGGACCGGCGGCGGCGGACGGGACGCCGAATTGACTACCGTAGTACGACGGGAAGGCGCCCGGATATGGAGAGTATGAGCCGCCGTTGTACGGTTGGGCAGAGTACGGCTGGGCAGAGTACGGTTGGGCCGCGTACGGTTGAGCCGCGTACGGTTGAGCCGCGTACGGTTGAGCCGAGTACGGGAATGCCGAGTACGGGGTCGAGGGGTACTGTCCGGCGGCGGTGTATCCGGAACCMGGGTAGTACTGTTGGTTTGGTGCAAAACTGTACTGCTGGTACGGTTGGTAGGCGGCTGGAAAACGTAAAGATGTATCGCTCACGGTTAGAATACATAATGACGTAATAATAATAATAATATGGTTACATTGGTGATGACTGTGATGTTTYATATCACGGCCATTAGTGTATGAGCTTAGGGTATTAAAATATTTATCCCGAGCGGAGTGACATCGATTTCGTCTTTCCTCTGTTGGTTATTTCCGAAAGATATTATTAGCTGTTCGGCGACAATATTTTAATAGATTTTAATTGCGAATTCGGCACTATATATACAGGGTGATTCTTTTATCAAACAACACTCATTATTTCAAAAACTATTGACTTTTTTCAAATTTTTTTTTCTCAAAATTTTAAATCCATCATGTTCTAGAACTATATATTTTTTAAATATTTTCACCCTTAGGTATATTTATCAGGTAAACCATTCTCAACTTTTGATTTTCAAATGACAACCTATTATACTTCAAACTTCATAAACTAAAAAGGCTATTTTTTCAATTAATTTTTACGTTTAAATTTTCATTTTTCGTTAATCCGTTTACAAGATATAGCGTAGATATAAAGTTGGGTGGTTTTGGGTGGTGTTTGTGTGTTATAGGTGTTTGTTAGGTGGTATTTACACACAAACACCATATGAGTGTTGTTTGTTAAAAGAATCACCCTGTTTATATATATATAMATATATATGGTTATCGCGAGTACCCAAAACGTAATTTAACGGTTTTATCGTCAAATATAAAGTAGTCGATAAAATATACCTACGACTGTGATTAATGCATTAATTATGATGCTAATAATATAGAACGTTTACTTATGCCAACCGTCTAATGACGAAAAAGCTCATATCGGGGCTGGTATGGTGTGTGCAGGTTGTTGAGCATTCAGTGACGAAGATAATAATTATTTTATTGACGTCTGTGTGTGACTTACCGAAAGCAGACGACGGGACTGTGGCCTTTGGTGCGAACGACGACTTGGCCATCGGCCCGGCGTACTCAGACATGTACTGGTAGCTCTGGGCTGGATAAGGAACGATTCCTGGACCTGGGAAAGTCGTCGGCGACTGCACCTGTTGTGCCGGAGTGGCGGCGGACTTTTGGACTTCCGTCGACGAAGCGGCTGCCACGACGGCCAACAGGAGGGCTGCTGCGTAGGAGACCTGCAGAACACGCGAAAAGATTGGTCAGTCGATCGACACAACAATGCATAAGAGTTAAACAACAAAGAAATCATAAACAACTCATCGACGTCTAAAATGTATATTTTTTTTCTTCAAAATATCATACAGAAGAGCAAAATGATATAATTTGATTCTAAACACCAAACCTATATTAGAGCATATAATATTATTCTTGGCTTATGAATACTTTTTTTGTATTTGTTCGATTTACAGAATCGTACTGTTTTGATAGAGTTTAAACCCGTCCAATTCATATTTGCATTAGGTAACTGTTGCGATTAAAAAAAAAAAAAAAAAACGTAGGCCGACGTATTAATCACTACATTTTTTTTTTTTTTAATCGCAACGGTTGCCGAGTGCAATTGCATGTTGAACTGTCGGTATTAATAGTGTCGTATGCCTATTAATAGAAATATTATTTCGACTAATTTTCATTTAATCGAACGTTCGCTGCGCACTGGCAGGTTAACACAAATCCGTTGACATGACGTGTACAAACAATAATATAAAACTTACCTTCATGCTGATAAAAATAATAATCTGACGRATGATACGCGGACTTAATAGACGGACGGCGGCGGTTCTCGAAAGAGTACAAACTACAACAAGCGTCTCTTTCAAGTCACTGCGGTCCAATAATTGCGTCCCGAGAGCCGAACGGTTTGATCTTAAATAGCGGCGGAGGCATATGCCTGCGACGGAGGAACGTGGTGGAAAAACGCCGAACACGGTCGACGAAGAAGAATAATGGGAATATCATATTATTGTATAACGRCGGGCGCGGACGGGAAGAGGGAAGGGAAAAAAAACATAAAGAAAATTAATACCTACACGCGAAACAAAACGGATACGGCCGGGGGGGTGAGAGAGAGGGTACAACGCGCGGCGGCGGTGCCCCCCAGCGAGACCCCCCCGCGGAAGGGGTTACCGGCTACCGACTCCTGCTTCTTCGTCCGTCGCGGTCCGGCTCCGTTTGTCCGCGAAACCGGTCCCGCGCGCTCGGCCGCCATTCCGGCGACCGGTTAAGCTGCGGTGGAAAATAACAAACGAAACGATTATTGTGACCGTGTGTAGAGGCACACTCCAGAATGAAATATAAACATTGTGCGTTCATATCGCAGTGTGTATACGTTAAGTCAAATTAATAATAATAATAAAAATAATATGATTATTATTATTGTATGACGCCGACTTGTCTTTTGGTAGTGTTTTCGTGACGATATTCTTTTCTTCCCCATCAGTAGCAACACTTTGCATGTTAGCTTGTGGGCATAATCGGGGGTAGTATTCCGAATACTTTATTTTTTAAGCGTTTAACACGGTATTTTAAACACTTTTTATAAGTATTCTGAATGCAGYATTTAGAATAAYTTTTTAACGTTCAAATCATAAATAATTTAATTATTTTTCCGTCATAGAAATTGCTTTCACATGGACAGTAAGTTATTTAATATTTTCMAATTTTTTAGCAACGAGATAGCGAAAGGCTTAATACATTTTTTATTTTTATATTAATTTGAACGTTTGCACAACCATAGGGTGGGGGGTAATTAATTTTCAAATGTATACCCTCCCTTCCACAGGTTATTATAATGTTMATTTACAAACATTGAATTGAAAAAAAAATAGTTTTGTTACTAAAAAAAGTATTCGAAAAATATTTGTAATACTTTTTGTGAAGTATTCCGAATACTTTGGAATATTATTATCATAAAGTATTCGAATACATATTCTAAATACTTTTTTTTCAATTATTCGAAACAAGTACTTTTAAAAAGTATTTTACCCAAGTCTGACTGTGGATAAATATATTGCATTATGTGCACTTGCTAAAAATGATCGCACTCACGCGGCCGATTATCTGTACGATTCTCGTAAATATCAACTCGAGCTCGGCATCGTAGGTAGGTATATGATATTATCATCATAAGTCGTATTGTAACATTTGTAACACAGTKCGATAAACGYGCCTTCTATGTTCAGGACGAAGGGGTGAAGGGAGGTTCGTGGACGTGAACTGCACATGTACGATGTATAAATARATGCAGCTCGGGGCTAAAATATTAAAATGTGATTTGCACGTTATATTCGACTCGAGTGGATACAGTGTCGGATGGTCAGTGTTAAAGCGCCGTTCTTTCCGCGGCTAGCTCCCCTCGCCCGTACACGCATAATAAGAACGCCGACACACGATTTGGCATTACACTGCACTTACAACAACGATAATAATAATAATATAAATAATTACGACATTACACACGTATATTTCATAGGTACTCGTAGCCTGCGGATGTACACTTATCACAAACGATGAGCGTCGCCACCGTTAATAATACGAGTATCATACGTACTGCCTATTATTATTATTATTATTTAGGATTCGTATTATTGTAATAGTTGAACATGTCTGAGTAATATCATGAAATATAGAGCCGTTTGAACAACGATGGAACCGACGACGACGTCGTGTTTCCACGATATAATATTTCAAGCTCAAGGTAACTCATCGTCGCTCAATATAGTACCTACCTCACATTAACACGATATTTTATTTTAAGCACACGCCGCCGTACCGCAGCCGAGTATACTTTATAGCGGCGAGTGGGTTAGATTAGGTTAGACCATAATATAATAAGTAATAATAAATAAATAAATAATAATCTGTAAGACACCGCATTTTATATCACTGCGATGACTAACAATGTGAATCGGTCATTCGACTTGCTATTTCGGTACAATATAAAATGTTATATGTACCACGATATAAAGAAACCTGTTGAATATAATGCACCTGTTGTAGTACGGTCAATCRAAAAAAAAAYACTGTCGCCTGTCATGCATAAGCGTTCGCGTACGCGCAGTGTTATTCTATTGTCAACGAATAATCGAAAGAAAAAAAATTCTATTCCGAATTACGACGAATCGTCCATAGCACCGCCAGCAAACGCGACAATAGAAATATAATAATTATAATCCGATATTAAGCCACGATTAGATTTATTATTTTACTATTTGTGCCCAGAGCTATTTTATAAATAATATTAACCGTTAATATTATAATATATTATTATTATATGGTCGAATCGTTGTTAAAAGCTTAATTACACGACACAATGGCGTGATTWCGGGAGGGAATAAAATTTGAGTGTCATATACCCCCGTCCTATAACTTCTTTACATAGATAATAATATTATGGTTTTGGGCTGGGGGTACCTTATTTTCTAACCTATTTTCATGACGTTTTGTTTATTTCCACAAAAATGCATAACTTAAAAAAAATTAATTTAAATTCCAAATAAAATACTACTAGATATCTTTCCACTACACCATACCCAAAAAATATCGATAGTTCCTCAACTTTTCTTGCAGAGGAAATATTATATTTTATAGAAATAATACAAACAAATTCTAAATTCCCTTTATGATGCCTATTATGGCATATACATCTTTTTTTTGGATGAGGAGCAGGAGCAGGAGCAATATGCAGAATGTACAAATAAAATCAGTAGAACGAATGTTTTATTCTTTGTAACCTTGGCTAAATGACGGCACTTCAGATTTTTCTCAATTACTTATAATAATATTTTTAAATACTCTCCGTTAACGTGATTAAGTGTTTACTGTAATATGATTTATATAATATAACAGTTGTGGTTTGCATTATCTCAATATAATATGATCATAATAATATTATTTTACACGAGCATAATCATATTCAACATAGRTACTCATACAGCATAGTAGCCATTGATCTTTAACGTGAATAATAATTATTCTGACCATGACAAATAGCTCTTGTACTCTTGACTTCAACATAATATTATTACCAACTATGAGTACCAAACTGTTGTCTGTTATAAAAAATAAATAATAATTAATATATTAAATAATACACTATAATTTCCTCAAACTTTTAATATTTTCTAAACATGACTCACGATTTTACATAGGTGCTTAATTCTCATTTAAACATATGCTGTAAGTGGTCTCAGCATACAATTATTTKTAATAAATTATAAACCTAGTTTAAAATCTAAACACGAATATTACTTTGTATATTTAAAACTAAATACAAACGCAGCTGATATATAGATTGAAATATCTAACTATTATAATACATAGATACATTTGCCAACTTACGGCACAATTTACATTTTGATCTAAGWGTTTATACTATGTCGGATTAACGATTAAGATCWTGCGATTGTAAATTATTCAGTATCCATTTTTCATGATTAAATCGTTACAATGAAGTYAATTTAACCGTGAAACTACTATATCTGTATGACTGTATACAATAAACGTAAAATGAAATTTAATGCAAGTACACGAGTACACAAAGACCGTATACAAACAACCACAGGGTTTATCAATTTTTATATATTCTGAAGAAAAATAATAAAATATAACGTTACAAATTTACATTGTAAAAGTACAAAAGTTGTTTGGCAAGGTAATAAATTGTTAACAGTCGTCGGCGCGCGGCGGCCAGTTATACAATAAGTATACCAATGGTTTTTTTTTTTTTTTTTAATGTTATAAATTTATCCAGTGGCATAAACATGTAATAGAGAATAAATTAAAACTTAACTCAACATTATACCACCTTCATTCATTGATTTCATTTCAATGTAAATGATGATTTTATTTCTAAGTTACGCTACAGTTTTGTATGTTATATCGTGTGTCAGTAACGTATTATTTATACATGGAATCATCACGGATATATACAATATAGACATTGCATTAATAAAATACCTACTATTGCATTAATTGTAATGCAATGTATAAACACCAAATACACTTTTTTGATTATAATTTACAATGGCGATTGGAGGACTATGCATTTTGAACACGAATCTACGGAACACGACTGCAAAATGATAATATTTTTATTTTATCAATAATGTTTATTATTTAAATTTACAATGAAATAATTAATGAACAGATATTTTATTATTTTAAAATCAATTTTACTACATGACTCATGGACCATAATAATTAATAAATACACAAGTACACAAAAATTATTTTATTTAGAATCTAATCGAAATGATTAATGTATTGATTTTATAATAATCTCTTTTTTTGTTTGTTTTTACATTTAGCAGTAAAATAAATTTTGATTTTTAACTTCGAGGTTGGTTTTTGATAAAAATAATTGAACCTACCAAGTTGGTTTTTGAGGGATAAAAAGTGAACATTTCTCAGTTCTCTTCTTAATAATCGGTATAAACAAATAATTAAAACAAAATTATAATAGTTGTTATTTTTTACAATAAAAAAAAAACAAATAACTGTCGATACTTAAAATGTACACAAAATAAAGAAAATTTGTTTTTTAAGAATAATAATTAGTATTATCCAATTCTGGATCTAAAATAGTTATAATAGCATCACAGCCATATGCTAAAGCAAATAAATAAACAAGTCTTTTTTCTAGATCCAATGTAAAAATTTCCATAACTGGTCTTTATTATTAGAAAATCTTCTATTAAGTTTAATATAAATTTATTTTTAGTAATTAAATAAATACTATTTTAAAAATCATCTTTTGAACTTAATATTTAATATTTCAATTAATTACCTTCGACTTAATATTATTGTAAATGTTTAGCTAATTTTTTTATTAGTTAAATAGTACTTAAATAAAAATATTCAA